CATTAATACTAAAGAAGTCTATAAAAGTTAAACATGCAGCCACACCATTCTAAAAACAAAAAAGTTTTAACATTTTAATTTAACAATTTTAAGGTTATTTAAAATTATAATGATAGTCATGTAATTGTAAATATGTACTTACAGATTGTAAAATAGATCGACCGTGCCTTCTCGAAAGCATTTCTAAAGCAGAAAGAGATTGTTCAGCCACATCCATACATTGGATTGCTTGCAGTTTATCCAGCATTGCTGGAACAGCATCAAGAACTGCAGCTGATGAACGAGGAAGTGCTTCCATCATATAAGTCAAAGCACGACAAGCATGATTCATCTAAAAATATCATTATGTAATAAAAGTATATATGTTACCGTCAATGTCGTAAATTCAGGTAATGATGACATTGACTAGCCAATAATGCCTTGGTAACTTGGTCATTATCTATAATCAACATATATTTGTAACATTGACTTGATAAATCAGACGATGTTATAATTTGATAGATTCACTAGTTATTATAACATATCCTATCTTCTTGTAGTCAATGTTATCTTTTATCGTTTTAACTTTAAAAACCCACGTGAAGATTAGGTAACTGTTTTATAACGAATAATAATAATTAATAGGTATCTTTTATAGTATTAATACTCACGGCAACTAACCTATAATATAAGTATTGTTACAGTCTACGTTGTACTTTCGTATAATATAGTTTATAGTTTCGTTTAGTTTTTCGTTTCGAAGTGTTGAATTGTTTTATTAAAAAAATGAATTCAAATGAAATGCGTCAAAAATTTTACAACACATTATCTGATTTATTGAAAAATAAACGTGAAGATAATATATCATTTTTAAACAAAGAGGAATATATGTTTCTTATATTTTTTTTTCATTGTTTTTTCTTAAATAGTAAATATAATATATTATATCTAAAATTATCAATGGCTACATAGTTTTAGTCAATAATGACAATGACTTCTCAATCATAGAAATTATGTATTAACATTAAATTTGTTCTATTATTGTCTATCTTAGTTAGGTATTCTCTAAAATGACTAGCCAATAATATCAATGCCTATGTAAACAGCCAGTGTTAACATAGACTAGTCATTTTTAACAATACCTAATTATCATCATTGGCGGTAACATATATATGGAATTTGGACGATTTATCAAGAATATTAAAAAATGGCACCAATAAAACATTTAAAAAAAAATGTTTATACATAAAATTTTCTTCAACATTTGTTCAACACTATTACATTATTTATTATTTAATATAATTAAGCAATAGTATATGATGTTTAAATAAAACTTGTTATGATAAATTATGTTAATTAATAACTAAAAATTCTACTAAAAACCTAGTTCATTAGAGTTGATTATAAATTAAAAAAGGTGGGCAAGTGGGTGTCGCTCCAACCTTTGTTTTAAATTTGCAATCCTTAGCTATAAAAACTGAACATATTATTTATTTATTTATTTATTTATTTGATGATTATACGCCCCGAAAAGCATTAAGTTAACAAAAGTATAGTAAACTAGATAATTACATTAAGTAGAAAATAAGTTAATACAATTATATATATAGATAACAGGTAAAATAATGGTAGGACCAAGGTTGGTTTAATAGGTGTAACATTCTGTGGAGAGGCTGATTGATAATTTTCGAGATTTTGATAAATTTTGTCAAAATTCGATCTTAAATGCTTATAAAAAAAATTTTGCCTATGTTTTTTAATATTTTTCAACTGATATTGTAACAATATATCAGCAGCCTTGTATTACATTTTTACACTTTTTGGCCCTACCGATATACCTTTATTGATATTTATAGAAAAAAAACTAAAATAATTGAAAACTCAAAATGTCCGTAAACAGCTCAAAAAGGGTCAAAATATTTTTAAAATTGTATGGAGTATAGGAAATGCTAATATAAACATTCAGTGATATTTCCATGTATCTACAGACATTCGTTTTTGAATTACAACAAAATAAGGAAATCGGTACATGAGAAATCGAGTGAATATCCAATATTGTAAAAATTTAATTTGACTTTCTTATAGACATTTATTTCTTGATAAAAGTAGATAATCTTATAAGGAATTTTGTATTACATTTTAAAATCTTAGATTTAAAAAGAAAAATTTTTATGAAGTCTTAACTCAAAATAATTTGCTCATTTTCGTGATTTTTCCATATTATGTAAATGTTGGGACTTTAAATGCTTATAAAAAAAAACTGTGATTAAGGATTTTTTATATTTTTCATCTGCCTTTGAAACAATATAGTAGGAGCCTTGTATTAAATTTTCAAGCTTTTTTACAACCAACTTATAACTTTTATTATATTCAGAAAAAAAAAAACTAAGAAATTGGAAACTGAAAATGTCCCTAAACAGTTCAAAATAAATCAAAATATATTGAAAATGCACATATAAAACAACCAATGAAAATTTCACTTATCTACGGTCATTTGTTTTAAAGTTACACCAAAATCGATTCAAAACAGATTTTGCGTAAAAATTCCCGTTTTTATTAATTTTTCGTTTGTTTTCAGGGCGCTTTTGAATACTACTGGGAATTTTCCCTTAGACCCCCCAATGTACCAACTAGAATTCACTTTCCTATCAGAAAAGCTACTGTTGAAGAAAATCCAAGCACTTACTTTTACTGTCCTAAAACGTGATGACAGACCAAAAAAAAACAAAAAAAAACACACATCATTGTAAAATCAATACATTCATCGTTTCACTCAGAATCTAAAATATACTTAATAATATACAAAATTATTGATTTATACAACATACCATGTCAAAATTGTGTTCCATCGAAAGTAAAACTATTAGTGCAGTAACTACTGGTTTCACTGGAAATCCAGTTAAAGTATCTTCATTACCCATAACCAACATTTGACACATTTCAATAACAGCTTGAAGTTGCTGTCCTTCATCTCCTGTAGCTTGCATTCCTTGTAATAATTGTTGAGCTTTAGAAGCTACAAAATAAAATTATATTTATTATTTTTTTTTCTTATAACAATAAATAGAGTAAAATATGTATAATAAATATTAAATAATAACTCTGAAATTATATTTTTTTAGATAAATCCTTACTTGTAGATGCAGCACCCATAGAACGATTGAACAAATGGTGCATACGAGGGGCCAATGCTCCAAATAAATGGGGTGGTAATCCTCTAGATTCTAATAATGCTTGTAAACGTCCAACTTCACCTTCTTCTTCACTATCATGACTAGTAGTTCCACTACTCCATGCTGTAGGCCCTTAAATAAATATAGTATAAGTTGTTATGGCTCATGTATTGCGGTTCATAATAAACTGATTTGAAAAAATTACAGTTCACACCACCTCCAGTAGCTTGTGTGCCAGATGAAGACGGATTAGTATTGGAAGTGGTAGATGATGATGTAGCCATATCAGGGGCATTAGTGCTAATTGAACTAGATGTGGAAGGTAGTATATTATTCATGTTGTCATTGCCTTCAGCCATTCCATCCCCTTCTACCACTCCTTCCATAGCCAATTCTGCAACCTCTCTTCCACTCGCTTTGGTATTACCGCGGCGACTATATAAATAATTATAGCAAAAAAAGGTAAAATTATTACAATACATTTTAAAATGTATAAATTATTAATCAATGTAGGTAAATAGTAAACTGTTTTAATACCTGCTACTAGCACAAGACCCCGTTGTTGGTCTTCCTCGTTTCCTACGCAGCGGTAAAGACGCGCGTAAATTAGTTTCCTCCCTATTCTTACTTTGACTTGAAGACGTACCTATAAATGTTAGAGTTATAATATTTAAGTTTTAATAACATACAAGGAATTAAATAAATTTTACCCAGCGTAGGGAGTTCTAATTTAGGACGTTTATTCGGAGAAGGTTCTGTTTCTTGGGTAGAAAGTTCGTTAGTTAAATTAATTTCTTCAGAGCGTGATGATCCTTTTGATTTACTACGCAAAGGATATCTATTTTCAGCAGGGCTGAAAGTCGAGTTATCTACTTTCTGTTTTCCTATAAAAAAAAAATGAATAAATTAAGTTCTAAATACAAAAAACGATGAGTTTATGCTAAGAGATAGCACTTAATATTTCAGCTGGATATTATTGGATTGAAATGGGTATTTGGGAGGTGAAAGAAAGTACCATGTTTAACTCTTTTGGTAGACGTATGCTCAATGCAACTTATTTTTATTAAATGGCAATACCAATTTTTTTCTACGGATTAACAAATCAACAGATTTTGTTTAAAAAGTTATTTTCTAACTACAAAATTTACAGATTTAGGTGCAAGTTGAAATTTACGAATAATAGCTGTTCTTAATGATATTTTATACTCAAGATATTCCAGATATTGTTAAATGATTATTTGTATACAGACATAAATGAAACTAATGTTTATTAAATAACAAAACCCGAGTTAACAATTTTGAAATTTTCATTATCTTAAGTTATTGTTTCTTGAAAGTAAAATTTATGTAAATTACAAAAACAAAGAAGTGCTGAAAAATAAGCAAGATAACTATCATGAGTATTTATAAAATAAAACTTACATTAACTCTATAAAATAAATAATAAAATCTATCTGATTTTGTAAAGAAAAATTTAATTTGAAAAAAGTAAATTGTATTGCACACCTGCATACCAGAAAAAGGGTTAACCATATAAAATTTTCTCAAAATGTTTATTTCAGTAGGTATCCCTTCCTTTTCACCTTCCAAAATCCACATCTCAATCAATGTTATCCGGTCAAAATATTAAAGGGCACCTCTTAGCATGAACACATTATAATAATATATTCATACAATAATATTATATATATAATTTAATTTAAGGTGCAGTTACAAAAACACTAGAAAGTCACTATAATGGGTGTATTAAATTTGAATTCAATGATAAATCATTGCATAAAAAACAATTCAAAATTATTTATATACTAAATATCCTTTAAATATAAATATTAAAAATTAATATGCATACTATTTTCGGCGCGATTTGGATATTGTTGATTTTCTACTTGTACCTGGTAGTTCTTTTTGCTGTAAAGTTAAAAAAAAATAAATAGACATTAACAAAACTCTGAATCTAATTGAAATACATATTTACCTATAATTAACATTTAATACATACAATTCTATGAACTATTAAAAAATGTAATCATCTAAAGTTACATACAATATATAATATATATAAGTATTTAAAAGCTTACAGTTCAAAGATTATATTTTAAGAATTTTGTTCAAAAATTCTACATAGTAAGTAAAGTACTTATTTAGAGTTATGTTATTCTAAATTTTATAATATCACTACCTATACTCGTTCTATCTATCAGTTTAAGTTGACCCACTCGTCAGACGAAAACTAGTTATGGGTGCGCATGTCTTGTAGCGCTAGTGTCCTATGTGGCTGTCGACTCCAATAGTAAACGACGATCGGCGACCAATCACGGAACACAATTCACAGACCAGGAAGGGTCAGACTGTCTCGGCGGCTCAGTATGCGTGTGCGAAAGTGGGTCAACTTAAACTGAATAAGTATAAGTTGATATGGCTTTGATACAACATTGATGAACTTACTGTTAGCGTATTAGAATTACTGGTACGAGTATTCCTAGTACTAGATTTACTTCTACGACTTCTTTGAGTTGATGCAGATGGTTCATTCACAATTCTGAAACAGTTGAAAATTATACATAATATACCTATGTTAATAACTAATAATAGATATCCTACAAAAAAATTTAAAAATACTCACGGTGTTTCAGTATTATCTAAATTTAGTGTAGCCACATCCACTTGATTATTTGTGTTTTTTTTACTATCTTTGCGAGAACCGACTCTAGATCTAGTATTTCCTTCTATATTTCCCCTCCTGTAATCAATTTAAATGTATTACCCGATTATATAGTCACGAATAAAAAAAATATTTGTAGTAATAAAAAGCTATTTTAAGTTCTAACCTGGTACTAATAGAAGACGCGTTACCCAACGCGGAACTAGCTTGTTCGGCCATAGACGTCACCTCCAAGCAATTTAATCATGCCACAATCAAATCACAATTCCCTGCAAAAATTATTATCAGGTAAATAAAATTTTAATTAAAACTAAGCGACTTCAAAGAAAATCATCACAACCCCAGTGAAAATGTTTAAAAGAAAAAAGAAAATCAACGGCACAAAATATTTGATCAAAATAATGTAATTAATAACATGGTAGATGCTCATTAGATGTTAGACCCAAGTAGGTAAATTCTGATCGACGCTACAAACCTAACACCTTTTCATTCCATTGGCACTCACCACAAAACCGGAAGCTAATAGAATGGGAATATTTGTACAGAACGATTTGTTAGAAACAACGGCGTTCATGGTTCCTTATCGAACACTTAATCGAAATTCGTCTAACGAGATCTGCCATGAATGATTCGAATGAACGTCACACTAAAGGCAAACGAAACTCGCGTAATCGCGTCCACGGAAGTAGGAAAATACAATACTCCACTGCCCAAAACGGACCAACGTCATGAAAAGACAATGGAAAAACAAGATTGATTCAACAGCTGTTAAATCATATGAATGTGCGCATGCGTGATTCATGACATACCAAGAGCATACCACATCATACCGCGGATACCAGGATACTTGGTACTTACCACAACACATCGTTGAGGTTATATTGTGCGTGTGTCTGTTCTGTGCTACAACAATACATCATTACAATTTACAACTGTCCAGTAAGAAAAAACAATAAACTTTAGTATTTGAAAGTAATCAGTAGTCATTAGTCATAACTCATAATTCGTAGTTCTTACATAAAACGTAATAAAATATGTAACAGCGTTCAATAACTCTTGTAGGTATAGGTAGTTGAAACGTTATTAAACTATACATTGGAAAGATGGAAGGAAAAAAACAAATTGATTTAAAAAAAGAATTTGGTCATTATGCTACCAAATATAAAAGTTTAAACCCGTTCAATGAAATAGACTCAAAAAAACTTCTCAAAGAAAGATATAAACAAAACTTAGATGATTCCAAACCATTGGAAGACGAAGAACCAACTAAAACTGTCACTGTGGACTTATTCAAACAAATTCCATTGCTCGAGGACATAGATTTGACCAAATCAGACCCTTTGTGCAATATGCCAAAACTTTCGGAGAAAGAAGCTGTACGTAGAGTGAGGAATAAATTTATACGGCTACAATTGTTATATGCACAAGAATACAGGTAATATTAAAAATATTTAATTTTAAACAAAACCTACCTAGGTACCTAATTTAATAATTCATCTCATTTATTTTTTTTCCATAGATATTTATTATTTAAATATCGAGTAAAACGTCGTGAATACTTAATAAATAAAAAATGTGATTCTGAATCATATGGACAACTAAATAAATCAAAATGGACAAATGATGAAGAATATGCAAAATTCCGTAAGCTAAAACTATTGCAACATTATCAAAAAATGACAATAGGACAAGAGGCTGTAGTATTTAAAACAGCAATGGATAGAAAAATAAGAGCAACTTCATTACTAAACAATAAGGGAAAATCACATCTTCCACATTGCACGTATGTAGAAATGGGTATAAAATGTACAGGAAAAATGATACCAAAAAGTAAGTATTGCAAGAAACATATCCTCAAAGATCCGAAGCAAATTTTATTCAGAGCTTGCAATGTTCTTCAAAGTGATAACCAGTGCCAAGAGCCAATTGTTAATTTTGATACCAAATCTACATGCGTTTTGCATGAAAAATTGCCAATGCTTCGAGATTAAATATTTATCTATAGATATACTACACAGAGTATATTTAATGTACATCAATTTAGGTCATCTGCTGAATACATTTTTCAGTTAATTGAGTACTCTCATTTTAATTTAAACAATTCTTAATACCATAACTAAAATAAGTTTTATATAATTAATTAATTCATCATTACTTAGTTATATAATATAAACTATGCTGTTAAGTATTAGATATATAATATGTGTCTTAGTGTACGGAAATTTATGTGTAATAAATATAATTTGCTATTGAATTAAATGAAAAAATATTCAATATTACATTTTGTATGATTAATGTTTATTTTTATTAACAAAAAAATTGTATAAAAGCATCTATTTAAGCAACAAATCTATTTATAGTGGTTATTTTTAGAAAACTCAATGTATCAGACACTAGGCAAGACACCTTAACATTATGGGCAACTTACTAAACCTATATCTACAGTATCTAAAGTAATTACATGATTCTTGAACAGATTACTCTGGCACAAGGAGGAACTGCACAAGTGTTAACCATAGCCAATGTGAAGAAGCCCACCACCCGAGGTTACTCTTATGATAATACAATTCAGAATAAAGTGATGCAAAATTGCAAACAGAATATTTTAACATAGATAAATAATGTTAAAAAAAGAAAATGATCTAATATTTTCCTATTTGTAGTAAGTATACATGTCTAAAAGATAATTAACATGTCTCTGGTGATCCAGTAAATACAAATTTTTTTTATTTTGATAAGTCTTAGAACATCTAAAGTAAAATAAAAATTTGTTTCACACCTGATGTACCTATACAAAATTTCATTTATTTTATTTTGCTATTATACATTTTATTTTACAGGATTCATTTTTACTCAAATTTAAACAGATTTTATTGTACTTAAAACATCATTTTTGCTTGATATATTTTTTTTCACTTATAATAATTTATTATAGGTTTATGGTAATTTAATACTAATTTGTATTGCACCAAGGTTTATATGTTTTAGATCTGTACCTTGGAAAAAAAAATATTCACCGCAGAATTAATTGATAAATTAATCAGACATTATTTTAAAAATAGAAATAAATTTAGTTTTTTTGAAAATAAAATTGCCATTTTAGACCATAACAGATTTAGATTTCAATGATACGGTTTAAATTTAGAACTACTAAAATACCAAAAAAAAAAACAGGTATTGCCATAATTTTAAAATATATAGCCATATAGGTAGTAGAAGTAAAAATTAATTAATTATCAGTTATTTTAATTTCAAGATACTATACTTTCTGTTAGAGAGCTATGCATTTTTTATTCTTTTATTTACTAATATCGAGTTGCATAAAAAAATTGATTAAATTAATAATTTACAAAAATTGAATGGACAAATCTTGGTGCAACTAAATCTTGTTAAAGGGAAAATTGGCTCACTATTGATTCATCAACTGTTTAAGGCTCTGACAAACAGAAAGTGTTATTTTCACGTAGCGTGATTTTGTAATTTGTTACAATGTGGTGTAATTCACAGGCGTGAAAGCACCAAGCCGACGAGCCATTTACTGCTTTAATGCGTTCTGTTTGACTGAACCTTAAGTGTTTATTTATGAGGTTTGGCATAAGTGTTTTACATCTTTACATTCCTACAATTACCTAAATGCACAAAAAGTAAATATGTATTCATTATATAACATACATAAAGACCTAATATTATGTAATATAAAGATAAACCTTGCAGGCTGTCATTAATTATAATATATTGAAAATTTGTGAGAAACAATTTAGTCTAATCTGAGTACATTTTTGAATTTAAGCAGCACTTTAGTAAGAGGACAGCATTTTCAAAATACTGATAACATTATATTGTTAAGGGCGGAAAAATTTGATTTTGCTTAGTTCACTATTTTCGCTTGAGCCTGTCCTGAGTGGTACATTTTTTGTATTTTAAATAGTTTAACATTAATTGTTTATTTGTAAAATTGATAGGCATTACTACAATAATTGTATTCACCTATGATCTGTATAGTAGATACTTTTTATCATAATTCACGGAGATAATTTAGTTTTACCAGTAATTTGTATATGGTAGGCAGTGGCGCCAAACTATATTTTAAAAAAGGGGTGGGGGCAAGTAAAAAGTTATACGGACCACCACCCCTGTTTACATATGCGCTGCATATGTATACATTATAATAGCTTAGGAGTTAAGAACATAATTCATAAATAATTTGTTGGGGTACCCACGGCCCCACCCACCGAAAAAGGGAAGTGTGGTTGCCCCTCTTGGGTTATAGGTTTGGCGCCACTGATGGTAGGTACCTATAGATTGTGTACAGAACCATAGCCCAACAGGGTCGGATTGGCCAGTCGAGCATTCAAGACAACATTTTGGGGTGGTAGGAGAAAATGGCCGCAATGCTGCATTACAATTTTTATGACAGCTATAATATTAAGTACTTTCCTGTTATACTAGACTACCCTGTTTTTTTAGAACATCACAATCCTGTTATCTAAGACTACCAAAATTATACTTTCCTGTTATACGAGACTACGGCTATTATCGCGACTTCCACCAAAGACTACCTCCGTTATGGCGACTACCTATCTTATTTAGCTGATATTATGGTTGAACGATATCTATAAGCTGCGATTATATTTATAATATTTGTGGATTTACCATTTTGTATTATTATTATTTTATTAATTTATTGTTTTCCGTATGCCGCAACAAATTTGGTACATTACAAATAATTATTATGTATTACATTTTTATTATATAATTTGAATGTGGCCATCCCCACAGTACGTACCTAAATTATTTATTATTTTATTTGTGGATTTACCATTTTGTATTATTATTATTAATTTATTGTTTTCCATACGCCTTTGCAGATTTGGCACTTTGGTGTGTAACATGTAAAATACATTACGAATAATTATTATGTATTTAAATGTTTTCTTTATTTCATTCTGGCCATCCCCAAAGTACATATTATTAAAAAATCTATCAAAGAAGGCAAGAAAAATAAGGTGGTCACGTATAACAGGAAGTACCATTTTGGTAGTCTTAGATAACAGGATTGTGATGTTTCACAAAACAAGCGCGGTAGTCGCGACAACGGAGGTAGTCTTGGGTGGTAGTCGCGATAACAGCCGTAGTCTCGTATAACAGGAAAGTACCTAATATTATAGTGTGCTGCCAACAATATGATATGGCCAATATTATTTATTAATATTAAAATTTGTCCAATATGGAGCCACCATAACAAGTTATTGGCCAGTAGAAAAATATTTCTCAAAGGTCCTAGACTACCCAATCTGGCACTGTAGCCCAAGTATAAAAAAGTGGAGATTGTGTGACAAAAACGTAGCACGCTACACAATATTTTCCACATCAAAAAAAGTGTATAAATCATAAATATTTATTATTTAGTAACCATTAATTGTATATACACCTAGTGGGAATGAGGTAACTTTTACATTTTATTCGTCTCTATGGTGATTTTTTTTTTAGAATATAATACCATTTATTATAGAAATTTTATGATGAACAAAGCTTTAGAAAGAATCAGTTAGAAAAATAAAATATCTTTACCCAGCCCAAAAACATATTTATATTAAAAGTTTGTAGGTTAGGTACCTATCAGACATCACCAATTTATAAATTAATATGAAATCTAACTTTACATTTCTACCTAAATAACTTAAACAAAAATGGTAGTTATATGCTATCGATATCTAACAAAATCCATAAAGTTGTAGGGCTTTGTCTACAAAGACGTTTTTTTATCGAATAAATTGTTATATTAAGAATTTTCAAGAGTATAATACCACATTAATGTAAATATTATAAACAAGAAATAGGTACACTTTAATGAAAAATATTTTACCTGAAAATGTCCATATAGCTCATGTTGGAGGTTATTAAAAAATGTTATACATTGAACAAAATACTAACAAAATAGCACTTAAATAATTGTTGATAGTTACTTTTTAAAGTTACCAAGTTATTTAATAATTAGGTAACTTGTAGTTATTAAGTTTTTTTTTTTCTAATCAGTTCACAGTTCCACACAAAGAATATAGATAATGAATATTGTAACAAATAAGTAATAACAATATCACGATAGTACGATACCACAATTTAAAGTAAACATTGACTTAAATCCACTAATTCATTTTTAATCTTGCTAGTCTAAAATGTATTTTTAAAATAAATTATAAACATAGGAATATACAACTTTTTTTGTACATACCCATAACTATAACTAGATTGATAAGATGTTGCATCTATGGTGATATTAATTTCAAATTTGATAAACTCAGATGAATCAGATGATTCTTGATAATGATCTATTTCTGCAATAAATAATTATTTTATTGAACTAGGCCGGTGATACATGACGGGACACTGTACAAGATATTTACAAATTTACAATATACAATACAAAATTATAAAATAAAAACCATACGTATTTTATGTGACTAAACTGAAGTACTGACTAGGTATCGGTATGTAAATGCACACACAGAATAGTTAGAACGTGTGATACATAGAAGTTTGCTTGAAGCACATATATATTATTTTAAATAAAAGATAAGATGTTTAGATTATCCTCCCCAAACTCATTAATCGAAACTAATTAATAACATAATTAGAAGAAATGCAAATTATACAATTTCAATCGATATTTATATTTTATACCTACGTCTACGCTATAGTATTGTATAGCAATTGTAGATTGTTGAAAAATAAAATATTTCACTAATACATCAATAAATAATTATTACACTCACCCAAATATGAGATCAGCAATCACTATATAGGCACTTCTCATTACAGTAACTTGTCACCACGAAGACATGAAATAGCCAAATAGGTAAAAGGCGTCTAATAAATACGAGTGGACCGACACTCGAGCGGACTGGTGCTTACCGAAGCAAAATCCACTAATCACTAATGAGAAATGTACATCTATATAATATACCACAGTCCATCCTGATAATGTTCAAAAACAGCAGGTCGATCTTGACGTTATTTTACCATAGAGTAATAATTACTCACTGAGTACGATGAACGTAGAAACGAAGATTATTATCACTACAACTATAACAAGTCTTATAATCACAGCAACAACAAAACAGTGATTAAAGACCATTAACCAAATATTATATGAAGGTTCTTTTAATTTCCGGGAATCCGCTGGAATAATATTTAAGACTGACAATAAATAATATTAAATAGCTAGTAAATTATTGCGTTCATTACTTTTACTTAATATTTTTATTGGATCATTTAAATATTTTAGTTAAATAATTTAAATTTATATAATATTATTTTTAAAATAATTAAGTAAATTTTAAAATTTATAAATCGAATACTTGTATACAAGTATTCTTGTTCGTTGTCCATGACATATTAAAGTGAAAGATATTTACTATTTAGTTTTTATCAACTAATTATTAATTATTGGTAGATAGTCGTAGATATTTCGACAAATTCAAATGACACGAGTCGAATAAAATGAGTAATTATAATTCTAACCATAAGTTTTTGGACATGTTTAATAAAAAAAAAATAGTATTTTATTTTGGTTTTTTCACTTTAATTATTTTTTGGTTTATTGGAATTCGAAGTAGAGGTAAATAGTTTTCGGTTTTATTTTACTGAAAAAATAATTTTAATCAAATGGATAAATTGTTTTTTAATATTTTCTTGTTATTAGATGCATCACAATATCAAATTTTAAAACAAACATTGGAACACACAAAAGAAGAAGTATGAACACCATTACATTTTAAAGTAGTATGCTTATTAGATGTATAAAAAAATATTTTTCAGCAAGTACCTATCCCTCAATGTTTATTCACCATTTAACTATTATTTTTAACACAAATTAATAATATATGAATTTTAATATAAGCCTATAGGTGATGTTTTTCTTATCACTATTAACAGGTCTCCACATAAATATATTTTGTTTGAAAAATTTTTTATTTACAATTTCTTATAGTCCTATAAATACAAATAATAACCCATCTATCTATACTGTAAATTATAATTTATATTTATGTCTACACTAAGTTTATTACACGGTTACTATATATATTTTAAAATATGTTTATATAGAATACAGCTGTTCTGAATCTTCAAAAAATATTCGGGAGACCAATTTAATCAATTAAAAGTTTAAAATTGTCTTAATAATTTGGAAAATTACTTACAGTTTTACAGTAGTTTTCTGTTGCAAATTATATTATATGGTATAGTGTGTTATAGATATAAAATGTTCTGTTAATAACTGCTTTTTCCTAAAGTTGTACTAAATTTTTCAATATTCGTAACATATTATATCATTTTAGTCAAAATTATGGGTTAGGTAACATTATTTAAAAGAATTATTTTTATTTATAGTGTGTGAATGTTTTTTATTAGTCTTTATTTTAAATTTACAATGGATAATTGTTTTTACTTGTGGTTTTCTTGGTAACTAATAGCCCTCAGGTGTTACATTTATTTATATTTTTATTATAAAATAAATTACCGATGTCTTGTAATTTGTATTCTTAATGTTAGTTATCAATTATCTATAATGGATCATTTTTTTACAGTTAAAAATCAAATCTATAAATTACAATATTTTAAAAGAAAGATTTGAAAGTATATGTGATAAATGGCAGCCAAACATTCCAGTTATATATGCCATCACACCTACCTACAAAAGACCTGTACAAAAAGCAGAACTAACAAGGTAAACTTAATAAACTTACATTTTACATTAACATTTTTAATTTTTAATATTTTCAAAATTGTTATTTATATTGTAGATTGTCTAATACTTTCCGTCTTGTAAATAATTTCCATTGGATTATTGTTGAAGATTCTGAAATGAAAACATCACTTGTAGCCAGTTTGCTTTATAAAAGTAATTTAAATTATACACACTTAGCCATAGGAACACCAGCTGAATGGAAGAGAAAATTAAAAGTATACAATTTAAAATAACTGACATTTTAATTTAATTTTACTAAATTCAAGTAATCACAATTCACAATATGTACATCTTAGGAACCGAAATGGAAGAAACCTAGAGGAGTTAAACAACGAAACAAAGCGTTAGAATGGTTAAGAAGTAACAGAGCTAATGAAAATGATGAAGGTATAATTTATTTTGCTGATGATGATAACACATATAGTGTTGATTTATTTAATGAAGTAAATATTAGTAATATTTTATTTTATTTTTATAAGTGTTTTAATGTTATCATGAAAAAATAGTTGTAATATTATACTATTATTTTTTATAATTTTACTTACATAGATGCGAACCATAAAGGGTGTTGGTGTTTGGCCAGTTGGTCTTGTTGGTGGTCTTTTAGTAGAAAAACCATTAATAAATAGTAAAGGTAAAGTAATTGGTTGGAATAGTGCTTGGAGACCAGAACGACCATTTCCTGTTGATATGGCAGGTTTTGCCATTAATTTAAAACTTTTACGTAATCATCCAAATGCCGCGTTTTCATGGGATGTCAGTCGAGGTTTCCAGGAAACTGCCATACTTTCACAAGTAACCACTGTAGAACAATTGGAACCTATGGCAGATAATTGCTCAAAAGTAAGTTTGTGCAAATTACATTATTTTTATTATGGCATATTATTATATTACATTGTCTCTTTAAATTAAATTTCAATTGACTGTATTTTCATAATCATTTATGAATTTAGGTGTATGTTTGGCATACAAGGACTGAAGAACCAATACTAAAAGCAGAAGAAAAACTTAAAAACCGTGGACTACGATCAGACATGAATATTGAAGTTTAATCTCAAACAGTGATGTAAACACCCGGTGCTTTATGCGTGTGTAATTATTTTAGTTAATGAAAAACCTTCAAAGACTCACTGCTCAATGGAAAAAGTAAAGGCCAACTTGTGTTTTTACTTATATGCATATATATATTTACGTATACTTAAATTTAGTTGTGGAACAGATTAAAATGACCAGTTACTTATTACTTATTGCTAATACAAACTATATAAGACATTTATTTGAACCTAAACCTAAATTGTAATTTTGTAACCAATAAAAATGATTGAAACAATAATTAAATTGTAAATAATTTACATTTAATCATCAATCCAAGTAACAAAAAAAAAAATTATATTATTTTCTCCTTTTTTTTTAGTCAAGAGTAATTCCATGTCATACAGTCCATACAGATTATTTTGTTTAAATTAACTTAATCAATTGAATATGTTAGTAGAATATAATAACCAGTAACTTATCTACCTACTAATAAATAAAAAAAAATAATCATTTTATTTCTATTAAAAATAACTAATAAAATGAATTCCACTACATAATATATTAAATAATACAGCATAGTTAATAAATTATAGATATTAAAAAAAGTACCTAAATATACACACATTAAATACATTTTTGTTTCAATTTAAATAACCTTAAATTAACTAGCTATTTTCTGATAAAATTGTTTGTAAAAGTTTTTCTGTTGATAATTCAAAATCAAAAAAAATTAATGACATTTTTGGAACTTAGCAATTTATTAGAATTTTCTTTTATATCTGTAAAATTGTACTTTAATATCATCAAGAAAATTTTGTATTCCTACTTTTTTTTTTTACATGCACTACATCGTATTTAATAATGTAAGCATAATCTTTTTCTTTTGCATTAGGTCAGGTTTATTTTACCAAATGTAATGTACGTCTTAAAAGCCTCTTCAAATATGTTTTATTTTGTGCTCAAAACTATACATAAGATTATTTTTTTAATACCTAACACAATATATAAAGTATAAATTAAATTAAGTACAAAACATATTTTTTTGAAAAATGTTATATACCTTCATAGATTGATAAATCTAATAACTATGTTAAAGAAGCTAAAGTTTTAATTTTAAAAATTAGTCATTAATAAATAATGTTAAAAATTGTATTAATTGAATAAGTTATACTAACTGCATGCCCTTGACAAATTTTTATTAAAACCCAAACACATAATGAAAATTTATTTATCCTATTAGTTTTAATCAGAATTATAATTTAATTATTTAACTTAATCATTAAGTATGTAGCACATAATGTTACATAAAAACAAAAAAAATTATGTAATTTATCATAGATCATTAGGAAAATAAAAACAACTATTTTTATCAATGAAAAATTAAACGATTATAAACATGTTTAATATTGTACAGTTTAAATTTACAAGAATATTTTAACATATTAATATTTTGCATGTTATATCATGTTCAACCTCATTCCAGTTAAGTCAATAAGTCATATTCATAATTAAAGTTGAAAATTGTTTTATTTATACTATATCAATCCATTGTATTATCATTCAACCGTCCTTAAATGTTTACGTTCAATTTAAATTACGAAAACCTTGTGATATATTAAAATTTTGAGATGCCATGACATTTTGTATTATATAGTTACCTAATCATATTTTTTTATACATTTAGGTAATTGCTTGCCTTTATAAAATTATATTATTTTTACATTTTTAGTTTTTGTATCTTTTAACGTTGATAAGATTAATTTATGTGAGTTAAAAAAATATTGTTAAAAATAATAATGCCAACATGGCATAATTTATTGTACTATAACATATATATTTATAACATTTTAGATTCTGAGCGGAGCGATGAATGTATTGGTTTTACAATGATGTATGTTTTTTTTTATATTTTTATATTTTTATATTTTTGTGTCTGTCATCACGTTTTGGGACAGTAAAAGTGCTTCGATTTTCTTCAATAGTACCTTTTCTGATAGGAAAGTGAATCTAGTTGGTACTTTGGGGGGTCAAAAGTAAACATTTTCCAGTAGTTTTCACAAGCGCCGGGAAAAACAACATAAAAATTAAGGAAAAACGGGAATTTTTACGCAAAATCGATTTTCCAAAAAATCGAATTTGGTTTTTGGTGTAACTTTAAAACAAATGACCGTAGATACATGAAATTTTCACTGGTTGTTTATATTTGCATTTTCTATACACGATAACATTTTCAAAATATTTTGATTTATTTTGAACTGTTTAGGGACATTTTCATTTTTCATTTTTTTTTAGTTTTTTTTCTAGAAATATCAATAAAATTTTATTTGTTGGTTGCGAAAGCTTGAAAATTTAATAGAAGGCTCCTAATATGTTGTTTCAAAGGCAGATGAAAAATATTAAAAATCCTTAGTCACAATTTTTTTTTATAAGCATTTAAAGTTCAAAAATTGACAAAATATGGAAAAATCACGAAAATTAGCAAATTATTTTGAGTTAAGAATTCGTAAAAATTTTCTTTTTAAATCTAAGATTTGAAAATGAAACACAAGATTCCTTATAAGATTATCTACCTTTATCAATAAAAAAATCTCTACCGGACAGTCAAATTAAATTTTTATGAGCGTTTGAAATTCAAATTTTTACAACATTGGATTTTCACTCGATTTCTCATGTAGCGATTTCCTTATTTTGTTGTAATTCAAAAACGAATAACTGTAGATACATGAAAATTTCACTGAATGTTTATATTAGCATTTCCTATACACCATACAATTTTGAAAAGATTTTGACTCTTTTTGAGCTGTTTACGGACATTTTCAGTTTTCAATTTTTTTAGTTTTTTTTTTTATAATTGTCAATAAAATTTTATTTGGTGGGCCAAAAAGTCTGAAAATTTAATACAAGGCTCCTGGTATATTGTTACAATAGCATTTGAAAAATATTAAAAATACATAGGCACAGTTTTTTTTTATAACCATTTAAAGATCAAATTTTGACAAAATTTATCAAAATCTCGAAAATTATCAAACATTGTAATTAATAAATTATAAAATGTTCAGTTTTTATAACTAAGAGTTGAAAATTTAAAACAAAGATTCTCTTAAATAATTCATACTGTAACCAAAAAATCTAAGCAATATATGAACACAGTTATTTTTTACAGACATTTTAAATTCAAATTTGGACGAAATTACATATTAAAATCAATATTAACGATCTTGGTTTTTGTTGTAATTTAAAAATATTATTCGGGGATATATGAAACTGAAAAATCAACACATTATGGCCTATCCATACAATCTACCATAGTATAAGGAATAAGAAGTATGCTCAATGATAAGACTGTGCATATTTTAAGGGCCAATGAATAATTTATTCATAAATTCCATATAATTTAATACCATAAATAAGTATATAATATGTCTTATACCTAGACTGACATACCGCCTCCGCTCAGAATCGTTTTTCTTATACAATGATATTATATCATTGAATTCAAATTTAATACCATCCATCATACAGTGACCCACTTGTAACCTACAGTACAGCAGAGCGACATCCACTTACCCACCTTTTTAAAGTTAAAAATAAACATTACGGTACTTTCCTGTTATACGAGACTATCTTGTTTTTTGACAACATCACAATCCTGTTATCTAAGACTACCAAAATGGTACTTTCCTGTTAGTCCGACGAGACTACGGCAATTATTGTGACTACCACCCTTAGATCATATACGATATATATATATATCATATATGATCTAAGCTACCACCCAAGACTACATAGTACATCCGTTATCGGGACTACTACCTTTTATATATGGATTTACCATTTTTGTTGATCTTCGTGTTCAGCAACAACAACGATAATATTATTCTTTGTATTATTATTATTTTATTGTTTTCAGTGGCTGTACGCCGAGTGTAAAATATATTTCGAATGATTATTGGGTATTAAAATCTTTTCTTAATATCATTTTTTTTTTTATATATTTATAATAAATTATAATTTGGCCATTTCCACAATACCTGCTTCCTTCATATTAAAAAAAATATAAAAGAATTAAGTATGATTAATAAAAATGAAGTAGTCTGTGGTAATAGCAGAGATTAAATGAAAATATCATTTAATTTCATTTAATCTGTGTTAGTAGGAAAGTGTATACATTTTGGTAGTCTAAAAAAATAACAGGATTGCGATGTTTCATGTAGGTATATTATATTTACTTTATAGTTTATAGTATACTACTAGAAATATTTTTATAATTTTGTATTTTGAATTTTTATGTATTATTTTACTATTTATTCATTTTTATTTTATCAACTTTGTAGCTTCATTGACGGTTTTCAGATATTTGTTTTTAGAAAATTGTCAGTAATTTATACTACATTATATGAGTTATAGATTATTGTCTTAATGTATTAATATGTTACTCTAAGGAAATTATTATTTATTTATTAGGTAATGAAGTAAAAATAAATTTTTTTTTTTTGTAATTAAAATATTTTATTCAATCTGTTTCAATACATGAACAATAAGAATAATTGATGAAAGTAAAAAATAAAATAAAATAAAAATAAATGACAGATTATCCCGAATTTAGAGGCCTCCCAGCGGAGGTACTACGACATGAGTAGGACTAAATTAGGCTAGCAGGTCGCGACACCACTGTCTTTTAAGTCTTTTAACTGGGTTACCTGGGATAGAAGCAGATGATAGGTCGGAGATTAACGGATTCTTATGGTGAGCTAGGCGGCTATTGAAACGTTTATAATGAGTTTTGGCTAGTTCAGAGACAAATGGCATTTTGAGATCAGTGTGGAGGGTGTGGTTAGAGACATAGAATGGTGCTTTTAGAATTGTGCGTAGAGTTTTGGATTGGAATCTTTGAATGCGGTTGATGTTGGAGATTTTGGCAGCGCCCCATAGTTGAATCCCATAAGTCCAGATGGGTCTGAGTAAAAAAAAAATAAAAATAATTTAATCTAATGTGTTTATGATAAAATTTAAAATT